TCTTCAGGAGGTGGGTGATCATGACTCTCCACAACTTCCTATCCTTTGTAGCTCTTATTCAAGTTTTGTCTTTTTGCTATCTCTCCTAATCCCAGTTAGGCCAATCCTTTACACAAACTTGTTCTCCTTCTTCTATGTGCCGTCTCTCTTCAGGAGGTGGGTGATCATGACTCTCCACAACTTCCTGTCCTTTGTAGCTCTTATTCAAGTTTTGTCTTTTTGCTATCTCTCCTAATCCCAGTTAGGCCAATCCTTTACACAAACTCGTTCTCCTTCTTCTATGTGCCGTCTCTCTCAGGAGGTGGGTGATCATGACTCTCCACAACTTCCTGTCCTTTGTAGCTCTTATTCAAGTTTTGTCTTTTTGCTATCTCTCCTAATCCCAGTTAGGCCAATCCTTTACACAAACTCGTTCTCCTTCTTCTATGTGCCGTCTCTCTTCAGGAGGTGGGTGATCATGACTCTCCACAACTTCCTGTCCTTTGTAGCTCTTATTCAAGTTTTGTCTTTTTGCTATCTCTCCTAATCCCAGTTAGGCCAATCCTTTACACAAACTCGTTAGGTAAGTTATTCACTCCTTTCTCTTCTTGAATTCAGTCTGTCCTGTGTGTGTCAAATTTACTAAACCCTCTTTCCTCATTAAGTGCCCTAGAATTTTCGACTGTTTCTCTCTGATGTTAGATATAATTGTCCTTTGTGTTTCGTCATTGTTAACATATTCAGACTTCAGATTTTAGTTGTTTCCTTCTCATTGTAAGTATACGTGCCGTTTTTTTCATTTCTCATTCTCAGTTAATGGTATTCTCAACATCCTTCTGTAGAACCATAAATATATGTTGTTTCAAGTCTCTTCTTCATCTGCAAGGAGATTATCCAACATTCACTGACAATATAAGAAAACTGAAATTATATAACAATTCAGTATATTTTTCATTGTTTCTAACGAAATTTTCCTGTTTCTTAATAGTTTGCTTGGTGTTTGGAAAGCATCTTTCGCTATACCAGTGCGCCTTCAGATTTCAATGTCACGTGTTTCATCCTCAGGAAAATCACCCCAGAAAGTTAAATAATTGCACATGTTTGATTTTGGTTTCTCTAATTTGTAGCTTGCATGTCAGATGTTTCTTTTGCTAACCTATCATGTATTCTTGCAATTGATGCTTAGTCCTTTCCTCTCGGGTTCATTCACTGCCTTCTAAAAGAGTTTTTATTTTGTTAGCAACTAGAAATGTATAATATACTGCTGTTTCCAAATCAACATAAAGATATAGCAACTGTTACTTCAAATCTCTTCTTCATCTTTGGGGAGATTGTCCAGCATTCACTGCCATATAGGAGGACAGATATCACGTAACAGTTCAGTACTCTTTTCTTTGTTTCTCTTGCTTCAAGTCTCTTCTTCATCTTTGGGGAGATTGTCCAGCATTCACTGCCATATAGGAGGACTGATATCACGTAACAGTTCAGTACACTTTTCTTTGTTTCTGTTGCTTCAAGTCTCTTCTTCATCTTTGGGGAGATTGTCCAGCATTCACTGCCATATAGGAGGACAGATATCACCTAACAGTTCAGTACTCTTTTCTTTGTTTCTCTTGCTTCAAGTGTCTTCTTCATCTTTGGGGAGATTGTCCAGCATTCACTGCCATATAGGAGGACAGATATCACGTAACAGTTCAGTACTCTTTTCTTTGTTTCTCTTGCTTCAAGTGTCTTCTTCATCTTTGGGGAGATTGTTTTTCATCAGATGTGCTCGAAGCGTATCTTAGCGTAAATAAATGACATCATATATTATGAAATTGACTAAGTCCGACAATTATTTTAATATCTTTTCTGTTTATACGTTATTTTTATAGATACAAATATTAAAATAAATGCACTGTTTTTAATAAATAATATTAACATTTACCCTCCTGAATGTTCGAGAAATTATAAATTATTATAAGAGCATTTACTTAAATATTTGTATCTATAAAAAAGAACGTGTAAACAGGAAATATATTAAAAGAGATGGCCCAGTGGATAAAGACGTTAGTTTAGATCCAGTGATTAGACCCAAAGAGTTGTGAGTTCTATATCAGGCTACAGTAATGGTGATGCAAAACTTGCCGAGTTGAGTTAAAGGGAAATAACTGAGACATCCGGAAGAGGCATGGTACATGGAACTAGAACAATATATCCCGGTGAACGAAATAAAATTTTAAAATTCCAATCATCTGAATGGCCGAAACGTTGTGAATATGGCCATGAACATGAGGACAGTCCGAATAATGTAAATAATTCAAGTAATCATAATACCTTATCTCAGAGATAAAGACAGATATATAGAGAGACATAGACATAAAGACCGGAGTGTACAACGGCCGAAACCTTGTGAATATGGCAATGAAGATGAGGATAACAGTCCGAATAATGTAAATAATATAAGTAATAAAAATTGTCTATATTTCTGAGATGAGGTATTATGTACACTATTTAAGGACACATGGCACAGTGGATGAAGGCGTTGGTTAGATCCAGTGACAGAACCCAAAGTGTGTGAGTTCAATACCCGGTTAAGGCAGTGGAGAACTTTCAGAGGGAAATTAACAGGAGATAACTGATTACTGACATCCATTAAACATGGCACGTGGAACTAGAACAGTCTACCCCAATGAGCGAAATAAAGGGTTCAGTTCGACATTCCAACCACCTGAAGAAGGCCGGGACGTACAACGGCTGAAACGTTGGGGTAAATATGGCAACAAAGATGAGGACAATAATCCGAATAATGTAAATACAAATCAACTATTCACTCTGACATGGAGTATTGCTACCATATATGGTCTGGAGCCCCTTCTGTTTGTCTCAAGGTCCTTGATAAAATCCAGAGACGGAAATGCAATGTAATTGGCCCTGATCTGGCATCTCGTCTGCAGTCGCTCTCTCACAAACGTGCCGTGGCCTCCCTCTGTCTTTTTTACAAATACTTTCACGGTAACTGCTCCGATGAGCTGATTTCGCTGGTTCCCAGACTTCATGAATTTAAGCGTTCTAATAGGCTGGCATCTTGCTCTCACCCTTTCATTGTCGAAACTGTTAAATGTAGCCGTCTCTTCTACTCCAATAGCTTCATGTCTCGCACCTCTCGCCTGTGGAACTCCTTCACCATTTCTTGTTTCCCTGATAGCTATAATCTCCAACTATTCAAATGTAATGTCAATCGACGTTTCCAGATGCCCTGATCTATCCCCTATCCTTCTCTTCATCCTTTCCTCTATCACTCATCTTTGTTCTCACTCCAACTCTCTGTAACCCCTTGCGTGCTAGTGGCTTCCTGCCTTGCTTGGGGTGAAACGCTTAAAAAAATCGTATCGATTTAGAAAAGAATATTATCCTATCAGACGACAACTTACAAATCGAGTACAATAGGAATTCCAGAATCGACCTGTCATAAATTAAGCTTACAAATTAAATCAGTTATTCCAGATTATGTTGTTAGATCATAATTAATAAAAAAAAAAAAAAAAACTCTAGATAACACCGTAAAACTACTGGGTACAAATTATAATACAAAATATTTTAAATTTGCATTGTTTATTGAAAATCACATTAAAACCATTGCACTGTATAACATATGACATCATAATATAACTAAATTGTTTAGTTTAATTTCTCTTTGAAGTAAATGAAGGTCTTATTTGATGGCACAAGGATTTAGTAATAATGTGCTTTGTGCCAAGAATCTTGTCCATATACAATTTATAAAGCTTTAATAAATAATACATTTTATGAGGCTATGCTATAAGGATTTCGCTGGTCAGCGGAATTAAATTCCAACGCTACGATTTTGAACCTAAAATTTAAAATTTAAACGCATTTCCTCAAAAAATGGTAACGATTTAGAAAAGAATATTTTGTGGCATTACTTATCACGTCCGACTCCGACAGGAAAATTAAGTGCAGTGACACGGTTCCAAAACCAACCTGCTCTAATGTGCAGTTATTATGAATAAAGATAATTTGGATCAGTCCTCGTATGTTGAAAGCGTTCAATATCGACTGGCCTATAATTTCATTGCTAAACAAATATTGATATCTATGAAAAAAAGAGAAAAACTTTCAACACAATTTAGATAGACTTGATGGCTTGATGGGTGCGGGTGGGGGGCTTATTTATGCTAACCTTTTGCTGACTCATACTAAGCGTTCGTCTAAACATATTTGTATATAACTTGGAAATAAATTTGGGGATAATTGAAATTAATTTCGAAAGTCATCCATGAAATAAAAATAAATGTTTGTACGGAAAGTAAGGACCTACGTGCATCAAACTGACTTTAAATTAAATGGCGGCAGACAAATTATGGTTTAACTTTTAAAAAGGTAAGCTTAAATATTTGTGCAATAATTAAATGCAGCGATTAATTTTGAGTTCTTCAGTAGTTTATTGTTGCCTATCGCATCTACTTCTTCTTACCTATTGTGATGAAGGCACAATGAAGAACCTTCCGCGGGAGCTAGCTTAAATGATGCCTGATTATATATCTATTTATTTAACGTGATAAGAGAAGGAATTATTTTTATTTATTTATTTGTCATTTTTTGTAAGGGGTACGGTATTTTTCAGTGTGCCCCCGTCGCAACCGAATGTGACACAATATCGATTTTTTTGTCATCGGTTTTTAACGGCAAAACCGTGGAAAGAATTGCTCAAGTCCCCTTGGAGCTTACCCTTTTTGGGAGACACCTCAAACGCCGGGTAATAACGGAAGACCGCTTCCGAATGTGAGGTAAGGCCTGGGGGTCGCTGGAGCTTGAGTTAGATATTATTTTGAAACTTTTCCGTTAAAAGAAAATAAAAAAAAATATCTGAAAATTAAGTGCAGTGACACGGTTCCAAAATCGACCTGCTCTAATGTGCAGTTATTGTGAATAAAGATACTTTGGATCAGACCTCGTATGATGAGAGCGTTCAATATCGACTGGCCAATAATTTCATTCTTAAAGAAATACTGATTTGTATGAAAAAACCCGACACAATTCTATCTATCTATCTATCTATCTATCTATCTATGACTGTTCATATCTATCTATCTATCTATCTATCTATCTATCTATCTATCTATTCATATCTATCTATCTATCTATCTATCTATCTATCTATCTATCTATCTATGACTGTTCATATCTATCTATCTATCTATCTATCTATCTATGTCTGTTCATATCTATCTATCTTGTGCGGATCAGCGGGATTAAATTCCAACGGTATGATTTTGAACCTGAATTTAAAAGTTAAACGCATTTCTTAAAAAAAACAGTAACGATTTAGAAAAGTATATTTTGTGGCATTACTTATCACGTCCGACCTCGACAGGAAAATTAAGTGCAGTGACACGGTTCCAAAACCAACCTGCTCTAATGTGCAGTTGTTATGAATAAAGATAATTTGGATCAGTCCTCGTATGTTGAAAGCGTTCAATATCGACTGGCTAATAATTTCATTCTTAAAGAAATACTGATTTGTATGAAAAAAAAAAAAAAATCCCGACCCAATTTCGATAGACTTGATGAAGGGGTGTCTTATTTATGATAACCAATTGTTGACTCATACTGAGCCACGGTCTAGACATATTTATACTGAAATATTATCATTGAAATTCAAATAAAGATAGCACGTAATCACCATTTGCCAATTTGGTGGGATTGGCTGATACAATTGAGCGCCTATTAAGAAAGTAGACAAGCGTATAAGACACGAGGTGCGTTAAAATGCGTCGAATTAATGCGGCTTTTTTTTAATAATAGTGAACATGTTTCAACTTATATAGATTAAAAATATTTTGTGAGGTATGCAAGCGATTTCAATAAAAATACAATTCGTAATTTCCGTTTCTCATGCTTTAACGATATCAATTTACGTCAGTGCATATATGCAGTTCAACAGATACGGGCAAGACTATCTATCTATCTATCTATCTATCTATCTATCTATCTATCTATCTATCATACTCTGTTCACATCTATCTATCTATCTATCTATCTATCTATCTATGATACTCTATTCACATCTATCTATCTATCTATCTATCTATCTATCTATCTATCTATCTATCTATCTATGTCACTCTGCTCACATCTATCTATCTATCTATCTATCTATCTATCTATCTATCTATGATATCTATCTATCTATCTATCTATCTATCTATCTATGTTACTCTGTTCACATCTATCTATCTATCTATCTATGTTACTCTGTTCACATCTATCTATCTATCTATCTATGTTACTCTGTTCACATCTATCTATCTATCTATATATATATATCTATGTTACTCTGCTCACATCTATCTATCTATCTATCTATCTATC